TAGAGATACACACACATAGACACATACAGACCGACATACATACAAAGACACATACAGACACACACAGACACATACAGACAGACACACACACAAACAGACACACACACACATACATACATACACAGAGACAGACATACACACATAAAGACATGCACACAGACACATACAGACAGACACACACACACACACACACACACACACAAGACACACATACATACAAAGACATATACATACATACAAACAGACAGGCACACATACATACAGACAGACAGACACACATACAGACACACACACACAAACACATACACACATACATACATACGAACAAACACACACACACATATACAAAATGTTTAAGTCACCGTCCTGTTTCATACCTTTTAGGTGCAGGATGGTGACTTTCCCTGGGGTCCAGTGGTGGCTCAGGTTGATGGAAGTCAGAGTTCCCACTTTGACTCCCTTTCCTTCCTCCCACGCAGCTCTCTGATAGCTGGGAGGAGTGACCAGGGCAGTCACTTCCTCCCAGCAGTGATCTCATCGCTGTTAAAGCACCGCAGTGCTGATTGGGGCCCCCTGGAAATCCATACCAATCGGGTGGCCCTAACAGCATGGGCCACCCAATGGGCCCCTTGAACGTGCGGCCCTGGTGGTTTTCCGGGCGGGCCGGGGACCGCAACACATGGCGACTGATACCCAGTCGCAGGGGTCCTCAGGGCGGCCGGGCACCCTGGAGTGGCCGGCCAATCGCAGCTGCGACCCCTATATGTACACCACTGTTTATTAGAAATAATCTGATCTAGAAGGGGATCTTCCTGCAATATAAACCAGTACTTGTTTATAATCCTCTTGAGTTCTTTATTCCTTCCTTAGTAATTAAAAATAAGTGGGACTTCATTTGTCATTTTCTCTGTTTAATTATTCTTCCTTTTAGCATTCTTTAAGAGATCTTCCCTCTTTAATGTTTTATCTTCCCTAAACACCTTATCTAATATAGCTTTTGGGTAATTTTTATGTTAATATTTGGTAATATTGTTTATATCTGTGTCACTGGGGTTCAGTGCAGCTAAACTGAGTGTTTAATTATCTTTATAGCGCTTACACTTTGCTGGTTTCTCAGCTATGCTTTCAGTTCAGCTATTCTGGCTTTAAAGTGAACTTATAATAGATTGATTCTCTGTGTGTAATATTGTTTATTGTGCTGTGTCCAAAGAAATAATTTTTTTACCCACTTTCTATGTGTCTTAGTTTATTTTTTGTGATACTGACCTGCTGCTCAATGGTTCCAGCATCATCATCGCACCTCCTTTGTGAGCTGCAGCTTCACTGGACCTCTTCGGGACAGCCCCCCAATGATGCTGAAGTGCTGGCTGTATTGCAAACACTTCAGCCAATTTAATTGAGTGATGCTGGGACAAGGATGACTTAAGGCAGGAATCTACTGAACATGAACAAGAACATGGTTCTTGCATAAGCCAGACTGATTTTCCTCTCCAGGCGGTCCTCTCACACCTCACCCCTCTGTCAGTCCTTATATTTGCGTCCTTTATCCTATAGGAGTCAATTCAAAGTACTAATCCATACCTATAAAGCATTGACCAATTCTAGCCCCTCTTATATCTCCTCACAGATCCAGAGGTATGCCCCTTTTTGGTGCTCTGCTCATGATCTTCTCCAGTCTGCTGCTTGCACCCGTTTGGCCAACTCGGGCCTGCAGGACTTGCTGCAGCTCCCTTGCTATGGAATAGCCTGCCTACCACCATCAGACTCTCTCCTAGTCTTATTATTTTTTAACCATTCTCTTTAGGAAAGCTTATGGCCTCACAGAGTAAGCTCTACTTTACATACCTGTCTCTTGCTCTCTCCTAAAGGGCAGCGCTCTACTCTCTCCCAGCCCCTTTTTAATATTGTAAAGTGCTACAGAATATGTTGGTTCTATATAAATGGCAATAATAATAATATAATCATATAACACGCAATTAATGTATTTTACTGGCAACAAGAGTCGGTTGCCAGGGCTTGACAAGGATATGGGAGAAAAAATGGCATGCTCAATGCGTGCTTACACTCATTGAAGATAGGCAAGAGATCAGCTTGTAGGCATGTTCTCTTGAGATAGGTATCAGCATAGGGGAGGTATATGGGGATAGTTTTAATGACAGTGGCAGCAAATTCCATAGTGTAATTTGGCAAAAATCTGTACATCGGTTACCAATTTCGCTAGCATAATGTACAGATAATTTATGGAGAGGAATTTAAATTACCAATGTACCATGACAGGTACCCTTTACAGTTGAAATTTACTTTGAATTCTCACTTTAGTAAATAGCACTGTTTGTTATTTTATTAACTGGTTAGTGAATAAGCTCCTGCGTTTTGCAGATCTATTTAAGGAACTAAGTGTAGAAATAAGTAAACCTTTGTTTGTAATCTTTAAAGATTATTTTCTTTCATCAATTATACCGGAGGATTGGGGGAGGTCAGATGCGGTTACTATATTAAAAATCCTTGCCTGGAAATTATAGATATGTGAGCTTAACTTCTATGGCTGGGAAAGTATTTGAAAGGTTATTAAGGGATAATATTTTGAAAAAAACATTGTTAGCAAAAATCAGCATGGTTTTATGAAACTTACTTAATTGCATTCTACAAAGAAGTGAGTAGAAGTATGGATCAGTGTGTTGCAGTGGATGTGATCTACTTGGATTTTTCCATGCTGTTTGATACTGTTCCACACATAAGGCTAGTGGTCAAACTAAAAGAAATTGGTCTAGATGAAAATGTGTTTTCTTGGGTTGAACATTGGCTTAAAAATAGAGTACAGCGAGTTGTCATTAATGGTAAATTTTCAAGCTGGACAGAGGTGGTAAGTAGTGTCTCTCAGGGTTCTGTTCTGGGGCCATTTCTATTTATCATGTTTATAAATGATCTTGAAATAAGCATTGTAAAGTCATGTTTCAGTGTTTGCAGATGACACAAACTCTGTAAAGTAATACAATGTGACATTGCTGCAGAGGGATTTAGATAGCTTGGGGCACTGGGCACTCAAATGGCAGATTACATTTAATGTAGAAAAATGCAGTTATGCACTTCTAGGTAAAGAATGCACAAGCAACTTACATACTAAATGGTAGTGATAAGGGATAACAACATACAAGAATGATTTAGGAGTTGTTATAGAAAACATGCTGGACAACAATTTGCAATGTCAATCAGCAGTGGCTAAGGCAAGTAAGGTATTGTCATGTATTAAAAGGGGCATTAATTCTCAGGATGAGAATATACTTTTGCCCCTTTAAAAATCATTGGTAAGACCACATCTTGATTATGCTTTGCAATTTTAGGCACCTGAAGGATATTATGGCACTAGAAAAAGTGCAAAGGTGGGCTACAAAATTAATAAAAGGAATGGAACATTTTAGTTATAAAGAAAGGTTAAACCACTTTAGTTTAGAAAAACGGCATCTCAAAGGTAATATGAATATACACTATACAAATATATTCAGGGTCAATATAAACCATTGTCTGGAAATCTATTCATAAACAGGACTATACACTAGACACAAAGTCACACATTTAGACTGTAGGAAAGGAGAGTTAGTCTAAGGCAAAGGAAAGGTTTTTGTTATAGTAAAAACAATAAGCATGGGGGTGAAGCATGCTAACAGGACAAGATGGTGCCATATCTGATAGCTCCCGATAGTTTCAACATCCACTGGCAAACCGCTGCCAACCAGAGTGACTTTCTGCATCGATTGATGCCTTTCCAATAATCCAATGGGTGACCCAAGACGAAGGTGTATGGCCTACCTTCAGCCACCACACTTCTCCCTGGAGTCACTCCTGGGTAGCTTCATGGCACATAACGGACTTGGGGCAGCCCAATACTCACATCCTCCATCTTTGGAGTGCCCCGAGACCATGGGACGCCGATCACAAAAGCCCAAAGGAAGGGACATAGGGGCTATGCTCCAAAAGCCCTCCCAAGCTGAATGAACCTCTGCAGTAGTCCCGAGCAATGCGGCCACAACACAGCATGCACAGGTGGCCCACAGGGGGTTTGGCACTGGTAATGAAAGACAACCTCAAAGTCTTGCTGGCCAACTTACACAAAATGATGGCGGCAGACAGTTCACTTGCCCAGAAGGAGATCCAGGTGGTCACCGACTGGGTACAGGCCACAGAAGAGGATGTACTGGATCTACAGACCACGGTTACCACGCTCAGCGACTTGGTACTCCAGTTTCAAAATAACAGCAATCAATGCTCACACAATTAACCATGCTTGAAGACCGACACTGCCGCAACCATTTAAAAATCTGCAGCATACCCACAGCAATCACCTCGGACAAACTGCCTTACTACATCCGGAGGCTACTTGCTTCTCTCTTACCATCAGCAGTAACCAAAAAGATGACACTTGATGGGGCTTGCAGAGTTGCAGAAAACTCCAAAACTACTACCCCTACACTACGAGATGTAATCCTGAGATGCACCTCCTTTGCAGATTGAAATCGCATTATGTCAGCCTTACAGTTGTCATTCTATCAAGATCTCTCCAGGGCAACCCTGCAATGGCACAGGTCCATGGCTCCTTTCACATACCAACTGTATACAGCAGGGGTATCTTATAAATAGGGACACTTAGGCATACTACGAGTGTCTTGGAACGGAACTGTTCATACACTCCGATCCAAAGATGAAGCTCCTGTGCTGCTGACCACAATGGGCCTCACAACAATGGCCTCTGCACAACCTGTCCAAGCCCATGCAGTGACTTGGAATCCGGCTACTGTTGAGCCATTTACCCAGAGAGCTGGCAATCCATCCTCCTGTGTGACCTGACTTGGGCAGACGTCATCGGCCTCAACATACCTTGGTCTACCAAGACCTGGAACTGTGGCTTCACTTTACCTACTTGCAAAACAGCCTAGATTGTTCATAATTTTACTAGTTTTAGGTTCACATGCCTCTCATATTTTATGTTACTGACTAAAAGGTCCCAGACACAGGCTCACCATATAATCTGGTGACAAAATAGCTCACACACCTTTATGTGACCGTTTCAAAAGACCCTGTAGATGGCACCCAATGGCACGCTATTAATCAACCCCTCCCCATCCCTGTGGCACCTCCTTACTGTGCACAACCTACCTAATCTGCCGGACATAATTACTTCTGTGTGACCTGTTATCCCTTACGGTGCATGGCATATTGCCAACAGCAGCATGTTTCACAAACCCTACTCCATACATCCCTATTGTATAAGAGGTTTACCAGAACAAAAAAAGAGAAATTATGGGTGTACCTGACTAGATACAAAATGAATAAACCTTTCTTAGTATAAATATATAAAGCTGAATCTAAATAAAGACAAAAGTATAAAACCAGGACACATATAGTTGCCCAAAAATAGAAACAATGTTTAGAACTCACAACTATTAGTATAAACAAATACAAAATAACAATTGTGAATATAAAATGGCTAGAACTGTGGGGGTAGGCTACTGATATGTAGAAATCAATAAAGGGGGGTGAGTTCCCCCAATATATACACATCATATTAGATAAACGATAACATTAAGGAGTAACGGAGCTCTATGTACAGATCTCAATAGGTGTTATCTCTTCATCAGTATATGAGAATCTGATAAAAATAAATAAGAGTATTTAGTAACACTATTGAGCCCCTATTGTATAAGGAGTCACTCTAGATCAAGTGCTCCTCAGTTGGCGTCCAACTGGATACCTAAATAACCACTATGGAGCTTCTTGACCCACTCAGGCCACACTGGCCTCCCTCTCTACTGTAATATTTCTAATTGCTATCCACACTTCATTTCCAGTAAAACGCCTGTACCTGTGAATTGACCTGTTTATACTATTGACATGCTATTGTTCATGTTTTTTTTATTTTTTTAAAAGTGCATATTCATCACATGCCATATATAACTAACCAAGTGTTCTGAAGTCTTATAATTGTCTATGCTATCTTGGCTACATTGGCATATCTGTTATTAATTTCACTGCAAAAAGAAACAATAATAAAAAAGAAACAATAAGGATATGGAATTATCTGCCTCAAGAAGTGTTTTTATCAGAGTCTGTACAGCTTATGCAAACTTGCAAAAACATTATTCAGGGATATCATTTTTAATTTGTGGGGTAATAGCTTCCTGATTCAAGGATAAATCTAACTTCCATTCTAGGGTCACAAAGGATTTTTTCCTAGTTTGTTGCAAAATTGGAAATGCTTTAAACTGAGTTTTTTTGTCTTCTTTTGGATTAACAGCAAAAACAGATGTGAGAAAGGCTGAACTTGGTGGACACGTTTCTTTATAGTTTACGTAACTATGAAATATGGGGATCAATTAGATACATGTGGTGGGATTGCCCAGCCATCAAGCCCTTTTGGGAGATGGTCTGAGACACACTAACATATCTGACGATCTACCCTGGTTTGCGATCGAAAATGTCTTGCTCCATGCAATGCCTCTTCCTATTCCCCTCTATAACACATATGTCATCTTTTAAATGCCACCACGAAACTTGTACCTACCCTCTGGAAAACATTGGATGTAGTCTCCAAACACAGTTAATTGCACATGACACAGGAGATCAAGGCAGTCGAGGCCCTCATAGCCTCCCTGAAAGGTGCTGGCACTAAACAGACAGAAAAGTGATATACCTAGGATGCATATATGTGCTGCTGCGTGTGTGGGGGGAAGGTGGGGGGGGGGAAGTAAGAGGCTATGAGCAGCTTTGCTTCTCAAGACAAGAGGAGCTAAGAATATTGACACAGTGTTCTCTGGGAGGTTGGAGGGGGCATGTGGGGGCTCCAAGCATGATGCAGGTTGGTTATCACTCTTTATCTTTTTCCTTTTCATTCCTAATTCATAGACAATGGGGTCATGAGTACGACTATGGTGTAACTACGATTGTTTAACATTTATTTTCTAGATATTGCAACTGGTGTTTTATAAGCCCTGTTGTTATATCTGTCTGGTGGTTTTTGATAACATTAATAGACACCTGGGTACAAGTTTGTTATTTTTATATGCCAAATGGTACTGTGCTGGAACCAGGGCCGGATTAACATAGGGGCTGATGGAGCTGTAGCTCCAGGCCCAGGCCCAGGCCCATGAAATAAGCCCATTTTTAAAAAAATTTTTACACACACACTACTCTTAAGTCTGCCACCTGACTGGTATTTTAAGGCAGAGCCAGTATTTGAGGCTGCCTGGCCGTGACGGTATTGCAGTAATACCGGCAATACAAATGCAAATATTTTTCTCAGTATAAACGGAGATTACTCTGCAATACCAACACCGGCCAGTAGGGGTCACTGTGTATGGAGAGAGGCAGGGATAGGAAGTTACAGCATCTACCTGCCTCTCCCTACTCACTGATCCGCGGAGGAGCAGCAACACAGCACAGAGAGTCCAGACAGCAGCTCCCAGCCTGCAGAGACAGACTACAGCTCAGGTATGTGAAGGAGGGGGAGAAATGTTGCAGGGAGACATGGGGACACTGAGACACTAGGGGACACATGGAGACACTGAGACACTAGGGGACACTGTGAAACATGGGGACACTGATACATGGTGACGCTGAGACACAAGGGACACAGTATCCCTATGTCTCCCAGCCAGTGTCCCTAGTGTCTCAGTGTCCCCATGTCTGTGTCCCCAAATGTATGTGTCCCCATGTCTCCCAGTGTCTGTGTCCTTAGTGTCCCCATGTCTCCCAGTGTCACCAAATGTCTCAGTGTCCCCATGTCTCCCAGTGTCCCCATGTCTATGTCCACAAGTGCTCCCATGTCTCCCTGTGTCCCCATGCCTCCCAGCCAGTGTCCCTAGTGTCTGTGTCCCCATGTCTCCCAGTGTCCCCTAGTCTCTCAGTGTCTGTGTTTCCATGTCTCTCAGTGTTTCCACACTGATACATGGTGACGCTGAGACACAAGGGACACAGTATCCCTATGTCTCCCAGCCAGTGTCCCTAGTGTCTCAGTGTCCCCTAGAGTCCCCATGTCTGTGTCCCCAAATGTCTGTGTCCCCATGTCTCCCAGTGTCTGTGTCCTTAGTGTCCCCATGTCTCCCAGTGTCACCAAATGTCTCAGTGTCCCCATGTCTCCCAGTGTCCCCATGTCTATGTCCACAAGTGCTCCCATGTCTCCCTGTGTCCCCATGCCTCCCAGCCAGTGTCCCTAGTGTCTGTGTCCCCATGTCTCCCAGTGTCCCCTAGTCTCCCAGTGTCTGTGTTTCCATGTCTCTCAGTGTTTCCACACTGATACATGGTGACGCTAAGACACAAGGGACACAGTATCCCTATGTCTCCCAGCCAGTGTCCCTAGTGTCTCAGTGTCCCCTAGTGTCCCCATGTCTGTGTCCCCAAATGTCTGTGTCCTTAGTGTCCCCATGTCTCCCAGTGTCACCAAATGTCTCAGTGTCCCCATGTCTCCCAGTGTCCCCATGTCTATGTCCACAAGTGCTCCCATGTCTCCCTGTGTCCCCATGCCTCCCAGCCAGTGTCCCTAGTGTCTGTGTCCCCATGTCTCCCAGTTTCCCCTAGTCTCCCAGTGTCTGTGTTTCCATGTCTCTCAGTGTTTCCATGCCTCTTAGTTTCACCAAATGTCTGTGTCCCCTTGTATCTGTGTCCCTAGTGTCTGACCCTATTTCTCCCAGTGTCACCATGTCTCCCAGTGTCCCCATGTCTGTATCCACAAGTGCCCCCATGTCTCCCAGTGTCCCAAAGTATCTCAGTGCCCCCATGTGTCTCAGTGTCTCTCAGTGTCCCCATGTCTCACTGTGTCCCCTAGTGACACACTGAGACATGGGGACACTGGGAGAAATGGGGACACAGACACTGGGAGACTAGGGGACTGGGCGACATAGGGACACTGTGATATATATGGACACTGATGCCAGGCTGGCCTTCCAATTCTTTGGACAGACATGCCCCCTTTTTGGGCATGTTCGCCCCTTTTGACAGTTCTGGTCACGTGATTCGTATCAGTGGCCCAACCTTTTATCCTGCCCATTGACTTCCTGCTTCACTGGACACTGCTGTTAGGGGGTATTGATTTACTTGAAAGATGAAAGCATAAATTAGATAAAGAGATTAGCATAGAGTATGTTTTTTCTTATAGCTGTATCCTTTGAGTTTCCCACCAACACCATCAGATACATGACGCTTGAGAGGTATGACTGTTTTAGTGTTTTTGGTCAATAAGATTCTGTAATTAGGCCCCATCGTAATTGTCAGCACCAGGCCCACTGGGCTCTTAATCTGGCCCTGGCTGGAACCGCTTCGGACCTTCACTTACTGCACTTACCACAATAAGCACAACTGTATACTTTCAAGTAGGTTTTGAAATGTTATTTCTCTATTTTTGTTGATAATGTGCTGTGCACTGTTAATTATGTTTTCTTCCTAAACTTATCTCATCTACCCTATTGTTTGTCTTTTGACATTTTTTAAAAAAAATAAAGATTTACAAAAAAAGGAAATACCAGAATATTTAAGATTTTATTATATTTTCATATTTATTGTAAATATTTTCTCAGAGTACATTATTGCATTATTCTGCATTTCTTTTTTATCTATATGCATAGTCAACAGAAAATTATATTTGGTTTCAAAGCTGAACTATATATCTCTTAAACAATCTTTTTTTTTTTTCTTTTAATAGCAAAACAATTTTAAGTGGCTGAACGTGATAGTCTATGCAACTGAAGCCTCCATGAGAACCTTGAATTTTTCCATGTCAACTTTATTCATAACTAAGGCCTTATTTTTCTTCCCAAGTACTTCAATCATATCAAGGACCATCATCCCTCGCGTGAATCTTCCACTTGTTTCCACAGTAACTGGGCATTCAATTACATCTGTGACAATGGATTCATTTATAGCAGCAGCCATTGCATAGGAATCACAGGACACAAATCCAGGGCCAGACACCATCCCCTTCACTTCCTTCTCACTTCTAGAGTACTGCAAACTGTGGGCATAGATTTTTTTTATAAAGTCAGCCTTCTTTGTTCCTTTGTTGACCCAATTATCATACCACTCCTGTGTGAGAAAAAAGAAAATGGAGTCATTTAACTTTTACAAATGTGTCGATTATCATGGATGACCATATCTAAAGTTAAATGATAGATGGGAAGAGAACGATGTAAAATTAAATGGACACTGTTATTACCAGAACCACTACAGCTTAATGTAGTGTTGTCTATAACATGTCCCTGCAACCTCAGCAATGTAAATGCTTCATAGAGTAAGGTAAACGGTTTTGTTTCATGTTTAGGCTTTGAGTGGTTACATTTGGTACTAAGGAAAGAGTTTGTTATGGGTTTCAAAGCAGTTACATTTGTACAAGCAGGTAGAATGTGCAGCACCTACGTTCAGTGTCTCCACGCTCTGCATGGAGACGCTTAACGCTCCCATAGAGCCCACATGAGGAGATGCTGATTGGCGTTTTTATCAATAGCATCCCAATGTTTTCCTATGGGAAGATTGATGATTTCAGCCATGGAGGCGGGGTGAAGCACAATGGAGAAGAGTTAAGTTAAAACACCTTTTACTTCCAATCTGAGGGGGGCTGGGAACCTAAACAGGTACTCCAGTGCTATAGTGTTAGGACAGAGAAAGACACATGGGAGTTTGGAATGTTGTCACTTTGTCATCTATAAATCTGATGCAACTATAAATAGAGGTGTGCTAGACCTACATTTTTACTTTCCATGAGTTTAGAAAAGCCAGATGAGCCTTACCTCTATTTCAAGTATATGCCATAACCATTATTTTACCTTTTTAATCATTTTACTGAAAATTAAAACTACATAGTTGAAAAAAATATTATTCTTACAAATCTTGCTAGTATCGCTCAGTAACTGTAAATCATTTCAAAATAAAAATAGGATCTTAAAAAAACAAAACAAAAAAACAAGTGTATGAATAATGTATATTTAGTGTTAGCTAAGGTAATCAGGAGCAGACAGTCTGTCAAAATCTTCATGTAACAACATGACTGTGCATAAACTGTTTAATTCTAAATGGTTGCATTGATCTTCATTGATGCATAGATGTTATGAATAAGAAACAACAATAGTTGGCAAAAGTGATCGCTATTTCTTGGCAATTACATTGTTATTAAGAAGTAAAAGCCATATGAATAGGCCACCTGCTCGCATTAGGATTTCCCTATAGGAAAGCATCATTCAGTGTTTTCCTATGGGGAAAAATCTGACACTGGAAGTCCTCATACAGAGCTTGAGGACGTCCAGCATTAAATAACGGACCAAAGGTCAGTTTCGATTCAAGAAGCCCGCTAGTGGCTGTTTGGGAAACAGCCACTGAGGTCAAGCTTAGAGTTGCAATGTAAACATTGCAGTTCTCTGGAACTGCAACATTTTACATTGCAGCACTAAGTAGGGACACAGTGTCCCTTTAAATAATCATTTCTGTGAAAGTATATGTCCAAGTCTTCCTTCCACAACATGCAGTACACTTACCTAGTTTCTCATTATAATTATTTCAAATTGCACCAGGTTACTGTTGCTCAAATTAGGGAATATGTCTAGAACAGTGTTCCTAAACCAATTCTCAGATGGACCAAAAGTCTAGGATTTAGGGAACTGCCATTGCTATTGCAAGATGGATGATGGTAAAGCTTAGATAGTTGGTGTGTTTTGAGGACAGGGTTGGGATCTACTTTATAAAGTCATGCTTCATAAACTTCTTCAATCTTCTCGTGTCCCACCACAACAAGCTCTGTCCACTTGTTGGGTAAATATATTGTACAGCAATTAAATCCTTTTTTTCCCTTTATTTATGTGTGTTTGGGCAATTAATTATTTGATCAATTTTGTATTATATACATTTGCAAGATACATGTATCTAATGCTTATTGATGGAGGATCAAATGCTGATATTATAGGTGTATATAGATTTATTTGTATTTACTGACTGAATGCGCGCGCGGCTCTTGCCGCGCATGCGCTTACAGCCGATGACGTCGGAAGGAGGAGGAGAGTCACCAGCGCTGGAGAAAGGTAAGTGTTTAACGCCTTCCTTCCCCTTCAGCCCGGCGGGAGGGGGGCCATGAGGGTGGGGGGACCTATTAACACTATAGTGCCAGGAAAACGTGTTTTTTTTCCTGGCACTATAGTGGTCCTTTAAGTATAGGATTAATGTTCTACCAGTAGAGGAGGTGGTTTTTGATACCTTTTACACCCTTGACTTTATGTACGTGCTATACATTAATTAGTTACCCCTACTGACTTTATAGTTAACCTAATGCACTCTTGATTAGGTTTCTGAATTGTAACTTTGTTATGTTATCTCTTGTTGCATACATTACTGGCAATTTTGTTATATATGTGTCTATCTGATTGACAACCACTTTTAAATAAATAATTTAAAAACTAATCAGAACTTTATGTAGCCTATGCATAATAATGCTATAATTCAGAGAGCATGCAGAGAAATTATGAATGCTGACATCAACAAATTTCTATAAATATATGAATGAGATACAAACCCATGACAGCTTGTGACGACATGCAAACTCCCAGGTAGCAATATAGGTTTTACACAAGAATTCATTGCAAACAATGTACGCCCCTTCAGGATCTGCTAGGAAGTTAAACTCTCCACAAGCCGAAGTATTTCCTCTTGCTAGATAAAGAAAAAATCCCAAGTTACTCTTGAAAAACAACAGAAATAACAGGAAAATTAATAACTATTACCATTCATTACATGTTTTAGACTGCTGACAAAATTCATACATGCCAACATTTATTATTTGGATATGATGCATCATGGCATCATTCAGCACATCAATGCAATAAGTCAGTACATTAAACAAATATATATCAGATGAATGGCACAGTTAATTATTCTTTTATCATGTGCCTCATCCTCGAAGGAGTACAGTGAGAGAAAAAAGTATTTGATCCCCTGCTGATTTTAAATGTTTGTCCACTGACAAAGAAATGATCAGTCTATAATTTTAATGGTAAGTGTATTTTAACAGTGAGAGACAGAATAACAGAAAAAAAAAATCCATAAAAACGCATGTCAAAAAAGTTTTGCATGTCAATGAGTAAAAATAAGTATTTGATCTTCCATCAATCAGCACTCCCAGTGCTGACTTCCAGGTGTCTTTTATATAGGTAACGAGCTGAGATTAAGAGCACTCTCTTAAAGGGAGTGCTCCTAATCTCAGCTTGTTGCCTGTATAAAAGACACCTGTCCACAGAAGCAATCAAGCAATCAGATTCCAAACTCTCCACCATGGCCAGGGCCAAGAGCTGACCAACGAAGTCAGGGACAAGATTGTAGACCTACACAAGGCTGGAATGGGCTCCAAGACCATCGCCAAGCAGCTTGGTGAGAAGGTGACAACAGTTGGTGTGATTATTCGCAAATGGAAGAAACACAAAATAACTGTTAGTCTCCCTCGGTCTGGTGCTCCATGCAAGATCTCACCTTGGTGAGTTTCAATGATCATGAGAACGGTGAGGAATCAGCCCAGAACTGCATGGGAGGATCTTATTAATGATCTCAAGGTAGCTGGGACTATAGTCACCAAGAAAACAATTGGGAACATACTACGCTGTGAAGGACTGAAATCCTGCAGCACCTGCAAGGTCCCCCTGCTCAAAAAAGCAGGCCCATCTGAAGTTTGCCAATGAACATCTGAATGATTCAGAGGAGAACTAGGTGAAAGTGTTGATGAGACCAAAATCGAGCTCTTTGGCAACAACTCAACTTGCTCTGTTTGGAGGAGGAGGAATGCTGTCTATGACCCCAAGAAAACTATCCCCACCTTCAAAAAGGGAGGTAGAAACATTATGCTCTGGGGGGTGTTTTCTCCTAAGGGGACAGGACAACTGCACCGCATCAGAAGGGATGATGGACGGGGCCATGTACCATCAAATCTTGGGTGAGAACCTCCTTCCCCCTGCCAGGGCATTGAAAATGGGTTGTGGATGGGTATTCCAGCATGGCAATGACCCAAAACACACAGCCAGGGCTGCAAAGGAGTGGTTCAAGAAGAAGCACATTAAGGTCCTGAAGTGGCCTACCCAGTCACCAGACCAAAATTTGTAACCTCATTATTTTGCCTATACCAATGTTGGTTCCTCTATTTCACAGTGCAATAGATGACAACTTCCTAATGTACCACTTTAGGTAGGACATTCTGATTTTGGAATCCTGTTTTATTATTCACATTTTCTTCCCTTGTGTGCCACATCTGGGGACCTCACAGAACTGTCCTCTGACAAGTGGATTATTAGGCATGCTTGTGCTTTTGGCACTAGGACCATGCAGGGAGCACTTCAGCAGCGTGCTATGCATAGTCCTCCGTGTAAAGGGATGGCAGGGAAGTGGTCTGTGAGCTTGAAGCAAGTTGAGTCACTGGCAGTACCCACCTAGGAAGGCATGATTCATATTCAAAGTTGGAAAGTATGGTAGATAGAAAGTTCTAGCATGGTTTCTAGCTTCGTGTCTTACTCAAAGTGTTTATCTGGACTCTGCTGGATAGAAGGTTAGGAGGAATCAACCATCTTGGACTGGGCAAACATTATCCAGCAACTTTCAAGCAACTTACATTTTTTAAATGAGATAACATAAATGAGAATATATATTTGTGGTCGTGACAATAAGCCAAATTACAGTAGTGGCAGCATAAGTTGGTTGTGATGTGTGGGAAACCAATGTTCGAGTAAGGATGTAAATAAGAGGGTCAAGCAAATTGAATCGTTTGATAAAGGGAGCATTGGGTGGGCTGGACCAGGCATTAGCAGCATAGAGGAAGGGGCGGCCTGTATATTTATAGGCCAACGAACCCCTCCCACAATTCCAGGATTCTTCAACAGGCTCAGCCATATATATATAATTCCAAAATAGAAATGGCTGCTCTCCAGTCTTTCGGCATGGTGCTTGAAAAAATAAACCTTTCTTCAGGGTCAAAAAATAACGAGACAACCTTTTTGACACCGGAGGAAAGTCCCGAACGGGGACTGAAACGTTGGTCGTTATTTTAAACTTTATTCAATAAAATTTTTATTTTTAAAGACCGGAGAGCAGCCATTTCTATTTTGGAATTGTGTTATGTGGAGCCCTGGTACATGCGCCCGGCAGTGAAGTGGTTAAAGCGTGAGTGCAGGGGATTTTTGCATTTTATATATATATATATATATATATATATATATATATATATATATATATATATATATATATATATATATATATATATATATATATATATATACATACATACACACATACATACATACATACATACACACACACACACACACACACACACAGTATCTCACAAAAGTGAGTACACCCCTCACATTTTTTGTAAATATATTTTATTATATCTTTTCATGTGACAACACTGAAGAAATTACACTCTGCTACAATGTAAAGTAGTAGGTGTACAGCCTGTAAAACAGTGTAAATCTGCTGTCCCCTCAAAATAACTCAACACACAGCCATTAAGTGGAAATGTCCAAATAGGGTCTTAAATATCATCAAGGAAGTTCGAGTTTGAAGAATTAGAGTATCTCCTGGAATAAAACAGAAGGCAATGCAGAAGTGTATACAACAACTAATTGCACAAGGAGTCATCATAGAAGTTCCTCAACAAGAGAGATACAAAGGATTCTACTAGCATATATGTCTGGCTCCTAAGCCTCAGGGAAAGTGGAGACTTATCCTGGATTTGAAAAGAATCAACATCTTCATTCATCAAGGGGAGATGCCTACTATCAGATCCCAATACACCAATCCCATCAAATATTCTGGAGGTCTTGGGTATTGGGGAAGCACAACCAACTCCAAAGCATGCCATTTGGGCTAAGTTTGGCACCCAGGACATTCTCGGTAGGACTTCAAGGCAGGCAGACAATGTTATAGAGCAGCAGGAAATGCTAGCAGAATGCTTGGTTGTATAGGGAGAGGTATTAGCAGTAGAAAAATGGAAGTGCTCATGCCATTGTAGAGAACACTGGTGAGACCTCACTTGGAGTATTGTACGCAGTACTGGAGACCGTATCTCCAGAAGGATATTGATAATTTAGAGAGAGTTCAGAGAAGGGCTACTAAACTGGTTCATGGATTGCAGGATAAAACTTACAAGGAAAGGTTAAAGGAACTTAAAATGTATAGCTTGGAGGAAAGACGAGACAGGGGTTATATGTTACATTTAAATACATAAAAGGAATCAACACAGTAAAGGAGGAGACTATATTTAAAAGACGAAAAACTATCACAACAAGAGGACAGAGTCTTAAATTAGAGGGGCAAAGGTTTCAAAATAATATCAGGAAGTATTATTTTACTTAGAGAGTAGTGGATGCATGGAATCGCCTTCCAGCTGAAGTGGTAGGGGTTAACACAGTAAAGGAGTTTAAGTATGCGTGGGATAGGCATAAGGCTATCCTAACTATAAAATAAGGCCAGGGACTAATGAAAGTATTTCGAAAATTGGGCAGACTAGATGGGCCGAATGGTTCTTATCTGCTGTCACATTCTATGTTTCTATGAAAATACTTATTACAGTCATTGCAGTTCTGAGGAAGAAAGGGATTTAAATCTTCCACAACTTGGACGATATCCTAGTTCTGGCACAGAACTACCATACAGTACTTCAACAGACAGAAGAAGTCATCTGTGCCCTACAGAGTTTTATGGTTAGATGATAAACAAAGACAAGAGCAACCTAAATCCTTCCAGGAACATAGTGTTTTGAGGAGCAAGAAAAAATACCGAGATATCCACAATATTCTTATCTCAAGACCTCATTGCTCGTAGAAATATAAAGATCTCAGAGCTTCTTCTAAGAACAAGAGTTCAAGCACTACTATACATGAGTGCATTAGGATCTCTCACGTCAATAGGCTTGGTCAGAATGGCACGTTGGATGGTAAGACCTGCAATTATAATGGCAGCTTAAGGAGTCAAATTTGAAGAATGAATTTTCCTTAAAAAAATCCTATTTGGAAGTACCCTGTCTCAGTAGTGGGAATTTGAGTTGGCGTCCTTCTTCCCACCAACTCCATTAATCAACAAAGTACTGAGAAATATCTGGAAGGAGAATTGCACAGTGATTGCAATCTTACCAGCATGGCCAAGGAGACCATGGTACCCTCTTCTGTTATGCATGAGCCAAGGAGCCCTAATAATGCTACCCCAGAGATGGCATCTGCTAATCCAAGGTCCAGCAGTCCATCCAGATCCCCAATTCCTTCAGTTAGCGGCATGGTGCTTGAAAAAATAAACCTTTTAAAGTCAGGTCTGTCCAAATCCTTATCTTACACGTTGCTAAAATCAAGAAAAGAGTTCTAACTCAAACTCCTATCATAAAGTATGGGAAAAGTTCAGATCCTGGCTGTTGGAAAAGGAAATCAACTGAGAAGAGCCAACAGTCACCAATATCCTGAGTTTCCTTCAAGAAGGTCTGTATAAAGGACTAAGCCTTAGTACTTTAAAAGTACAAGTTTCTGCCATTTCGGCTCTGACAAATACCAGGTGGGCCCTGAATCCACTGATTATAAGATTATTTAGAGCACTCATGAGAATAATACCCCCAACTAAACAATGTGCCCCTCCATGGGACCTTCCTTTGGTTTTAGATGCCTTAACAAGAGACCCATTTGATCTTTTGGAAGACTTAGGAATTTATACGCTATTAAAGCTCTGTTCCTAATACCCATAACATCAGCCAGGAGGGTATCAGAGCTTTATTCATTAAGTTCAGCACAACCATATACGTTTTTTCACCAAGATAAGGTGGTTCTTATAACTAGCACGATTTTCTTCCTAAAGTGGTTTAAGTTTCCACATTCAACAGGAAATAGTGCTTCCATCATTTTTCCCTAATCCATCTAACCAGGAAGAAATTGGCTGGAGTAAACTGGATGTGATGAGGTGCCTCAGGATTTATTTGCAAAAGTCTAAGAATTTCAGAAAAACAGAAAAACTTTTCATTCTTCCATTAGGTATTAGAAAAGGCGAAGCAGCCTCTATAGCTACGCTAAGGAAATGGATCTCCATTACAATTAAGAAAGTTTAGGCATCTCAGGGTCAACAAGCTCCCAGCATCATCAAACCGTATTCGACCAGAAGTTTAGCAACTTCATGGCTTCTAGGGCAGAGGTGCCGGTAGAGTATATTTGTAAGGCAGCTACTTGGTCCTCTGCTATGACATTTGTGGATCATTACAAACTGGATTTGGTCTGAACTGGTCTTCTGCTAACGATTGTCATTTTGGGAAATGTGTTCTCGCTTCAGGCCTTGAAGAGGGACACCCGTGCCGAATCCTATCAGCCCCAGCCACCCTCCTGCAAAGAAAAGGTAAGAGACAGGAGGGTGGCTGAGAAATGAACTCTGTGTGTGTCTGTCTGTCTGTATGTATGTCTGTATGTCTGTATGAATGTATGAATGTATGAATGTCATTATGTATGTATGCCAGTATCAATGTATGTCTGTGTGAATGTATATATGTATGCATGTATGTCAGTATGTCATTATGAACGTATGTGTGTATGGATGTCAGTATGCATGTATGTCAGTATGTATGTCTGTATATATGCATGTATGCCATTATGAATGTAAGTCTGTGTATGTATGGATGTCAGTGTCTGTCTGTCTGTCTGTCTGTATGAATGTATGTATGTCTGTATGCATGTATATATGTCAGTATGAATGTATGTATGTCTGTATGGCATTATGAATGTATGTCTGTGTGTATGTCGGTGTCTGTATGTATGTATGTATGTATGTGTCTGTATGTCCTCATGCATGTGTGTCTGTATGTATGTTAATATGTGTCTGTCTGTCACTATGTAGCCCTTTGTATCTGTATATGTGTGTATGTCTCAGTATGTGTGTGTCAGTATGTATCTGTGTGTGTGTATTTGTGTCCTTTTGTATCAGTGTGTGTGTATGTGTCTGTCTGTGTGTATTCCTGTGGGTGGGATTTGGAGGCGGAACTTGTGGGCGGGATTGGAGGCGGGCCCCAGGGGGCCCAGATGCTGAACTGAGTTATGGGCCCCAAAATTTCTGGTTGTGGCCCTGACTGTATGATATTCAGTTAACACAGCAACAGTGATTATACTTGGTTTTCACATTTCCCAAAGTGTAAATGTAACAGTTAATTTGTATACCACATGCCTTACTATTCACCATTTTCTTTCTTGTGAAACTATAACTCTGGGCACTTATTCACATATTCCTATAACACTTGTGCATGGTTCACATTTGCATCTGATCTGTGTTTTCAAATGGAGACTTTTTTTGTTAAGGTTTACAATGATGACAATGTGATTGGTAAAACCTTTATTCCAAGTCTAACTGTTAAAAGCTTAGTGAGTAAATAAACACTATCCCACAACTAACACTCTGCACCCATAGCATAACAAAGAGCACAGGTGTCTATGGTGCATGACACGTCCACAGAAACGTTGGTACATAGAATGTGACAGCAGATAAGAACCATTCGGTTCATCTAGTCTGCCCAATTTTCTAAATACTTTCATTAGTCCCTAGCCTTATCTTATAGTTAGGATAGCCTTATGCCTATCCCATGCATGCTTAAACTCCTTCACGGTGTTAACCTCTACCACTTCAGCTGGAAGGCTATTTCATGCGTCCACTACTCTCTCTGTAAAGTAATACTTCCTGAAAATATTTTTAAACCTTTGCCCCTCTAATTTAAGACTATGTCCTCTTGTGGTAGTTTTTCTCCTTTTAAATATAGTCTCCTCCTCCTGTGTTGATTCCCTTTATGTATTTAAAATGTTTCTATCATATCCCCCTGCCTCGTCTTTCCTCCAAGCTATACATGTTAAGATCCCTTTCTTGTAAATTTTATCTTGTAATCCATGAAAAAAGGTACAAGGAAAGGTTAAAGGATCTCAACATGTATAGCTTAGATGAAAGACGAGACAGGGGGGATATGATAGAAACATTTAAATACATCTACATCTACATAATTAAGCACAAGTAGATCCAGATGTTTAATAATTTGATAATAATACAATATACACATAACTTACATTCCATGTTTCCTCCCATTATGTACAAGCATTTCAGTTTTTCAGAGAGAGTTGGATCCATCTTCACAGCCAGAGCTAAGTTGGTTAGTGGACCAGTAGCCACAAGACGTATCTAAAAAGAGTGGGATTTAAATATCAACCAATGTAATGAAGAGGTTATAAAATAATTGAATAATTCGTATTTTAGCATTGGAAGCATTAACATATTTCATAAGCATTCCATAAGGATCAGTAATGTGTCAGACCAAGGGTGTACCTAGAGCATTTGGCACCCTGAGTGGATCCTGTGTTTGGCACCCCCTGATTAAAATGTAATACAAATTAACAAAAACCCCTGCCTCCTCTCTACAAAAACCTCTGCTCACTCTACAAGACCCCTGCCCCCAATTCAGAAAAAACACTTAGCATCTATTATCTTTTTTAAATTTAAAATATATATATATATACACACAATCCAATGAGGGATGCTGCTCTCCGGACTTAAAACTTCAATTTATTATAATAGATTAAAAATGACGAGGGTCGTCATTTTTAATCCATTATAATAAATTGAAGTTTTAAGTCCGGAGAGCAGCCTCCCTCATTGGATTGTTTATCTATTGGAGCTTTGGTTTTGCGCCCGGCAGTGGTATACCTTAAATGTGAGTGCTGGGGATATATATATATATATATATAAATATTAGCAAGCACTCACCCTGCTCACTGCTCCCTGATGATACAGACTCCAGACTCTCCCGCCACAGCACCGCCCTCACAGAGTGTCAGAGCAGATCCCTGTGCTTTTGCTCAAAACCAGGGATGTGTCTACCGTGAGGAAAACAAGGCGTTTGCCGTGGGCAGCAATTTCCAGGGGGCGGCATAAAATGCTGCCCCCAAATGCCCAGGCAAATACATTGTTTGCCTTGTTTTATGGGAGCCCAAGAGCTGGCCGGCTGGCCACCTTTGGGCTCCCCCGGGGCAGGCAACCTGACATGCAGGCGGGTGGCAAGGGAGCACTTTCCCCTGAGCTCTCTGCTCAGCTCCCAAGGGAAAGTGCTCCCCTGCCGCCCACCCGCCTGCCTGCACGTCCGGCCGCCTCCCTGTGCAGCAGCCCAACTGGACCCCAGGTGAAATATCCACCCAGCTATCCTAAAAGTAGGGAGGCTGGGTGGATTTCAATAATAAAAAAAAAATAATAATAATAATTGTGCGTCATTGAATGTGAGTGAGTGTCAGTGAATGTGAGTGTGTGTCAGTAAATGTGAGTTAGTGTGTGCAATGGTGTATTTAGGATTTGACGGTGCTCGGGCACCCCCCCCCCAATTTAAATTTTCCCCATCCCTTCCTGTCAAGGCCGCACTTTGACTGACAGACGCTCACTCGCTGACAGATGCACACACTCACCGATAGATGCATACACTCATTAACAGACACACACTCTCATGTACACTGACAAACAATGACATACACACACTCACTGATTTGACACACTGATAGACAGACTTACACTTACTCGGACACACACACTCACTGACAGACACACACATTTACTGACACACACTCACATTCACTGACGCACACACACATTTCCCCCACTCACAATTATTATTATTTTTTAATTGAAATCCACCCAGCCTCTCTACTTTTGTGATAGCAGACAAAGGGGGAGGGGTAGTAGTTATCCCGCAGTCTAGTTATTTACAAGAGGCAGAACAAATTCTTTCACATCCGTGTACGTACCATAGATTGGATAAGAATCCCATTGAAGATATCAAGAAAAAATTTGACAACTATATCGAGAAGGGTTTAGAAAAAGGAATCTTGACAATAGATGAAGCAAAGTACCTATCAACTCCATACCCTAAGACACCAGTGTATTACCATTTCCGCAAGGTGCACAAAAATAAAAATAATCTGCCTGGCCGGCCCATTATATCGGGAATAGGCTCCATTTCGGCAAAGGTATCAGAGTACTTAGATGATTTGTTACAACCAGTAGTTATTTGCAATCCTGCCTATTTGAAGGACACAATACACATCTTGAGATTAATAGAGGAAGTCACTGGGAAAGAGGGGAATTTTTTAGTCACGTGTGACGTGACTTCCCTCTACAGCATTATACCGCATTAAATAGGATTAGAAGCTGTGCAATATTTTTTAAAGAAACACAATTTTAAAGAAGTACAAATAGATTATATTTTAGAGGGCATTCATTTAATTTTAACCAATAATTTTTTTTGGTTCCACAACACTTTTTACCTTCAGATTCGGTGAATGGCGATGGGCACCAAGTTCGCCCCCAGCTACACTAATTTGTTTATGGCGTATTGGGAGGAGCGATTTGTATAACAAGGTCATGTCTGGGGGGTGAACTTGGTGTGCTATCGCCGATTCAGATGATATATTTTTTATTTGGACAGGCACGAGTATAGATCTGAATACTTTTTTTTCATTTTTAAATAGCAATGAATGGAACATTGTTCTATCAGCACAAATCAGTGAAGAAGGTATCAACTTTTTAGATCTGGATATTAATATAGTTGATGCATGCATCACGACGAAGAACTGTTTTAAAGAAGTTGACGCAAACGGGTACATCAGGAAGGAGAGCTGCCACCACCCATAAATAATTTTTTTAAATCAAAGTAAGGGTTTCTATGGTTGCGGGCAGTGCTTAGCATGCAGGAACACAAAAAGTAGAAAACGGCACATAATGGATATGGAACCTTGGATAAATAAAAAAAATTGAATTAAAGACCACTTAACATGTCACTCAAAAGGAGTGATTTATGTGTTAAAATGTCCATGCAACCTCCTCTATATAGGCAGAACAATCAGATGCTTATATGTAAGGATAGTGGAGCATACAAGACTCATAAAGAATGGGTTGGAGTCACACAGTGTCTTGAACCATTTCAAAATAGCTCATAACCAGAACCACGAAGGAATGTTTTTTAGCGCCATCATACTAGTTAAAAAAGATTGGAGAGGAGGTGATTACACAAAAAAAATAGGAATGGAAGAAATGAGATTCATTTTTAATTTTAATACTATGACCCCCCAAGGGCTCGGCCAAGATTTTGAGTTATGCCATTTTATGAATTATCTTTCTTCAATATGACATTTTATCACTTTAGGTTTTATAAATAACTGAACCTTTTTTCGATGTCTAAATACTCCAATGGTAAAATATTTTTAGAATTTTAGGAGTTATAAGGTTGATCCTTTTAGCTTTAAGTTTTAGTAGTTGGATATTTTAAAACATTGGTTTTATTACATTTGTGTTTTGGGAATGGACATGTGTGCCTCTCAATGTAATATTCTTTTATTACAACGTTTTAAGAAATGAACATTTTTTGAATTTTTTGTGATTGCACTGGAGTGCCATAAATTAATGTATGTCTCTAAAAAAAGTATCAATTAATGCATTGATATTGATGTATGTCTCTTTTTAGAATTTTGGAACTTGCTCAGATAAACAAATAAGTGTGAAGATGCACACAATAGGCATTTATATTTTATATTGTACATGCTACCATATTTAATATGTCATAGAACTGCTAATTTTTTCGCTAAAATGAGCCGATATAGAAACACGGCTCATATAGGGGTGGTTCAAGAGACGTCAAGAGGTTGGAACGCACAATGCTTTCCACCAGAGTGTAAGCAGAATCAGGAGGGAGCACCAGGAAGTGACGCCATAGTGATGGAACACATGTTGAGTTCCAATGCGTGGCTTAAGCCTTGGTGCAGGAAGGAGGGTTTTGGGTTTTTAGAGCACTGGGCCGACTTTGTGATTGGGTACAACCTTTATAGTGGTGATGGATTGCACCTAAACGGGAGAGGGTCTGCAGTGCTGGGGGATAGGATGGCTAGAAGGTTGGAGGAGATTTTAAACTAGTAGTGGGGGGGAGGGTCATAGCAATCTACAAAATGGAGATAGGACAGAAAGGAGATGGGCTTTAGCACAGTATAAGGGGGGTGGAAACGGGGGGAGGGGCAAGCTCAGAACAGAGAAGCTGTGTAATGTTGAAAATTCACAAAATATACAAGTGACACATAATATTAAATGTATGCTTACTAATGCAAGGAGCCTAAATAACAAAATGGGGGAACTAGAGGCATTAGCATACACTAAACAATATGATATAATAGGCATAACTGAAACATGGTGGGATGAGACACATGACTGGGCAGCTAACTTAAATGGGTACATGTTATTTAGGAAGGATAGGAAAAACAAGAAGGGTGGTGGGGTATGTTTGTATGTCAAACATGATTTAAAGCCAAATGTTAAGCAAATGGAATGCGAGGAGGATAATGTGGAAGCTTTATGGGTAAATATCTGCTTGGGGGAAAAGAAGGGAAACCAACTATTGGTTGGGATATGTTATAAACCACCTAATGTTAATATTGACGAGGAACAACAGCTGTTTGAGCAAATTGAGAAAGCTGCAAATCTGGGTAACACTTTAATTATTGGAGATTTTAATTACCCGGATATAAATTGGGACAGAGGGACTAGTGCCTCAGCAAAGGGAATTAGGTTTTTAAACTTGTTAAATGACACCTTCATGTCACAACTTGTGCAAGCAGCAACTAGAATGGATGCTTGTCTGGACCTGGTTTTAACAAACAACGTTGATCTTTTGACCAACATTCAAGTAGGTGAGCACTTGGGAAATAGTGATCACAATATAGTGTCCTTTGAAATAAACTCAAAAAAACAAAAGCACATGGGGAATACTAAAACATATAATTTTAAAAAGGCCAATTTCAATAAGTTAAGGGAAGCTTTACAATATATTGACTGGCATAAACTCTTTAGTGAAAAGAACACTGAGGATAAATGGATCATCTTCCAACAAATATTACAAAGGTACATTTCTCAGTATGTACCATTGGGAAATAAATATAAAAGAAACAAATTAAAACCAATGTGGCTTAGTAGAGAAGTAAAACAAGAGATTACAACTAAGAGAAGGGCATTTAAAGCATTTAAATCGGACAAATCAGATGCATCTTATAAAAGATATAAGGATGCAAATAATGCGTGCAAAAAGGCAATTAGACTTGCTAAACTTCAAAATGAAATAATGATAGCTGAAGAGAGCAAAACCAACCCCAAAGCATTTTTTAAGTACATAAATTCTAAAAAAAAACAAAATGAAAGTGTAGGTACACTAAAAACTGAAACGGGGGTGTTAATTAATGAAGACCAGGAAAAGGCAGGAATTTTAAATAACTATTTCTCCTCCGTATATATTAAGGAAGAACCCATGGCAATAGATGTGCAAATGATTGCTACTAAAAACTTGCAGAATAATTGTAATTGGTTAACTCAAGACAAGGTGCTGCAGCAACTAAAGAAAGTTAATATAAACAAAGCTCCAGGGCCTGACGGTATCCATCCACGTGTACTTAAGGAACTAAGTGCAGAAATAAGTGAACCTCTGTTTTTAATCTTTCAAGATTCTTTTCTTTCAGGAAGTGTTCCGGAGGATTGGAGGAAGGCAGATGTGGTTCCTATATTCAAAAAGGGTTCAAAATCCTTGCCTGGAAATTATAGACCTGTGAGCTTAACTTCTGTGGCTGGTAAAATATTTGAAAGGTTATTAAGAGATAATATTCAAGAATTCCTTGAGAAGAACATGGTTATCAGCAAAAATCAGCATGGTTTTATGAAGCACAGGTCATGTCAAACTAACTTGATTGCGTTCTACGAAGAAGTAAGTAGAAGTATAGATCAGGGTGTTGCCGTGGATGTGATCTATTTGGATTTTGCCAAGGCATTTGATACAGTTCCACACAATAGATTAGTGTTCAAACTCAAGGAAATCGGTCTAGATGAAAATGCTTGTTCTTGGGTAGAACATTGGCTTAAAAACAGAGTACAAAGAGTTGTCATTAATGGTAAATTTTCAAGCTGGACAGAGGTGGCAAGTGGTGTCCCTCAGGGGTCTGTTCTGGGACCCCTTCTATTTAACATGTTTATAAATGATCTTGAAGACCAGCATTGAAAGTCATGTTTCAGTGTTTGCAGATGACACAAAACTTTGTAAAATAATACAATGTGAGCAAGATATTACTTTGCTGCAGAGGGATTTAGATAGACTGGGGGACTGGGCACTCAAATGGCAGATTAAATTTAATGTTGAAAAATGCAAAGTTATGCACTTCGGCGTAAAGAATACACAAGCAATGTATACCCTTAATGGAAGCGAATTAGGGATAACAACACATTAAAAGGACTTGGGAATTGTTATAGACAACAAACTATGCAACAATGTGCAATGTCAATCAGCAGTGGCCAAGGCCAGTAAGGTATTGTCATGCATGAAAAAGGGCATTCATTCTCGGGACAAGAATATAATTTTGCCTCTTTATAAATCACTGGTAAGACCCCATATTGAATATGCTGTGCAATTTTGGGCACCTGTTCTAAAGAAGGATATTATGGCATTAGAAAAAGTGCAGAGGCGGGCTACAAAATTAATAAAAGGAATGGAACATATCAGCTATGAAGAAAGGTTAACAAATTTAAACCTATTTAGTTTAGAAAAACGTCGCCTGAGAGGGGATATGATAACATTATACAAATATATTCGGGGCCAATACAAACCATTGTGTGGAAATCTATTCACAAACCGGACTTTACATAGGACACGAGGCCATGAGTTTAGACTGGAAGAAAGAAGATTTCGTCTAAGGCAAAGGAAAGGTTTTTTTACTGTAAGAACAATCAGGATGTGGAATTCTCTGCCTGAGGAAGTGGTTTTATCAGAGTCCATACAGATGTTCAAACGGCTACTAGATGCATACTTGCAAGAACAGAATATTCAAGGATATAATCTTTCAATGTAGGGTAATAACTGCTTGATCTAAGGATAAATCTGACTGCCATTCTGGGGTCAAGAAGGAATTTTTTTCCTAGCTTGTTGCAAAATTGTGCTTCAAACTGTTTGTTTTTTTTGCCTTTTTTTGGATCAACAGCAAAAAACAAATGTGAGGTAGGCTGAACTTGATGGACGCAAGTCTCTTTTCAGCTATGTAACTATGTAACTATGTAACTAATTGCCCGAAAACAGAACCGGAAGTGAAAGGAGAGTAGAGGGGGTATCCAGAAGTAGAGATTAAGCGGGCGATTTAAGAGAGGAGAGAAGCAGTGAGATACATCAAAGCCAACTGAGGAAGCCAGTTTTATCGGGTGAAACGCGTTTTGGACACTTTGGACATTTGTTTGGACTATACAGCTGATCCAGAACTTTATCTGGTATACTATATTTTATTTATTTTATATTTGAGTGTTTTTTAAACCAATAGAGCACCTTTTCTTTGGAAGAAACTTCTCTGACTTGGCATCTGCACTATCCTTAACTGGTCAAAGGTGGGACAAGACAGAGCATTGCACAGAAGAGGGATCTGGACATCCTTTTAATGGTCCACAAGCGCACATTATTGAGTCATATGAGGGTATGACTCCAGATTTGTGAGTGACACCACAATGGCATTTTAATATACGTTATACTTGACAATACTGTATTGCACTAGTGTTTTGTAATTTTATTTTTCAGGATATCCACTAAACAGTTATTTAGAAGCTCCACTTTACGTATGTATTTATTTTGTGATAGCTGGGTGGATATTTCACCTGGGGTCCAGTGGGGCTGCTGGGCAGGGAGGCAGCCAGATGTGCAGGCAGGCAGGTGGGCAGCGAGGGAGCAGGGGACCACCGGGGAGCTGGAGTGTGCCGCCAATTGACCACCCAGAAGCTGCGGTTAACCGCAGCATAATTGATGAACACTGGGTGGCCTTTGTTCATTAGCCGAACACGTGTCAGCGGCCGTTTTAAGTCCCGAAAGGCCAGCGGTGCTCAGCACTAACACTGTGGAACGGAAAACGGACACTTCCTTGCGCCAACACAGCTGAGCCGTCCGCCCCCTGGTTCCTATTCGTGCCCTTGGTGTCAAACACCGGTTCAGTCGGTACTTTGGGATATGTGAATATGTTAACCCAGATAGCTAAGCCATGGAGCCCATTCGTGTAACGAAGGACTATGTGAAAGACTTTGGCTCCATGGCATTTAAACTGTATGTATGTGATCTGAGTGCCATTCATCTAATAATATGCGCTCAGATCTAAGCTATCTGGGGATATGTAGAAATGTGTGTCTTATGTACTAAATGTATCAGTATGCAATTTTATGTCTTTTACTGTCTTTTTGTCTGCCATGTGGGTAATGGAGTTTTACCTCTGTCCTTGGAGATAATTAGATTCCTTCCCCAATTATCTCCAGGGCAGAGAGGAGGGATTGTGAGGCATTGTGGGAGGTAACTCTTGTGTGATTGGTGTATTGGGTAATTGTTGTAAATCCCTCCCTTGCATGGGAGAATCCTTTATAAGCCTGTTGTGTGAATAAATCAGTGTTGTTCCAGTTTAACCCTCAAAGTGAAGTGTCGTCTCATTCTTGGGGGGAATTTGACTGTATGCCGATTGTCAGGAGTGTAAGCTGTTCGTAGGGCTTTTCCTGTTCGGCTGCTTCCATGGTTCGTGTGTCTGCTGTTCGAGAGTTGGTGAATACGTGCAGTTTGGAGTTCGGGAGGTTGGTGATTGCAGTAGCTGCTGGTCTATCTGGAAGGGGATTATCGCCTAAACAGTTTTTATCCCCTTGTGAGCAAAACGGTGGCAAGCGGAGGGATCGTTCCTACAACCAGAAGGACAGCTACAAGACAACACCAGTGCCTGGGTTACAATTGAGAGCAATGCTAGTACACGTACAGCGACCCTATGTACAAAGGAACCAACTTTGACAGCGCAAGCATGGCACCCCGCTACATGCAGGAGGCATTTGACAAAGAGTGCGCCTCGCGGCTGGCTCTCGTTACATTTGTCCCCTCTGAGGAATTCGTGCAGTTCGTAAGGAGCCAAGTAGATGAGTACCTGCAGTTCATGGCAGATCCAGCCAAAGGTATCGGCCGCCCTATCCGGTGGCAGAGTGCGTTACGGGGACTCAAAGGTGTACCCCAGGGAGCTGAAGGTGTCGTCCTTCCTCCCCAGCGGCAGTGTGTATCCCAGGGAGCTGAAGGTGCAGTCCTTCCTCCCCAGCAGCAGTGTGTATCCCAGGGAGCTGAAGGTGCCGTCCTTCCTCCCCAGCGGCCGTGTGTACCCCAGGGAGCTGAAGGTTATTTACAGTTATTTAGAAGCTCCACTTTACGTATGTATTTATTTTGTGATAGCTGGGTGGATATTTCACCTGGGGTCCAGTGGGGCTGCTGGGCAGGGAGGCGGCCAGATCCTTCCTCCCCAGCGGCAGTGTGTATCCCAGGGAGCTGAAGGTGCAGTCCTTCCTCCCCAGCGGCAGTGTGTATCCCAGGGAGCTGAAGGTGCAGTCCTTCCTACCCAGCGGCAGTGTGTATCCCAGGGAGCTGAAGGTGCAGTCCTTCCTCCCCAGCGGCAGTGTGTACCCCAGGGAGCTGATGGTGCAGTCCTTCCTCCACAGAGGCAGTGTGTACCCCAGGGAGCTGAAGGTGCCGTCCTTCCTCCCCAGCGGCAGTGTGTATCCATGGGAGCTGAAGGTGCCGTCCTTCCTCCCCAGCGGCCGTGTGTAACCCAGGGAGCTGAAGGTGCTGTCCTTCCTCCCCAGCGGCAGTGTGTACCCCAGGGAGCTGAAGGTGCCGTCCTTCCTCCCCAGCGGCAGTGTGTGTCCCAGGGAGCTGAAGGTGTCGTCCTTCCTCCCCAGCGGCAGAGTGTCCTGCAGGGAGCAGAGGCCGGCAGTCTCGCACCCCAGCAGCAGGACAAAATAATGAAAGGGGAGACAGCTGGTCCTCCTCTCCACCAGCAGAGAGAGTGTCAGGGAGAGGAGCCTGATATCCCCTCTCCCCAGCGGCAGTTTACAGTTCAGAGAGAGGAGCTTGTTGCACCCTCTCTCCAGCGGCAGCCTAACCCAGCAAGGGGAGATGTTACAACCCCCAACAGTGCAGATGGGACCGTAGTCTCTGCACTTGCAGCACAAGGGGTAGGGACAGTCGGTCCTGTCCCCCAGCCCCAGTGCTGTGTACCCAGAGGGGAGTTGGTCGGTCTCCCCCTCCCACAACCAGGCTACTTCAGTGGTAGCGCTGGCACCAGGGCAGAGTACCGCTGGTCTCTGCCCACTCAGCAACCCACCAAGGCAGTCTACCAGCCCCCCCCACAGCCGTGGTGAGGCACCTGGACATGGACAAAGTTCTCCTCTACCCAGGTGTAGTAACCAGTTATTGTGGTTGGGCTGTACTGCTGTTTCTGTTTTGTGGGTGGGTTGCTGGACTAACCAGGGCACTGACCGGCAGGAGGTCAGATACCCTGTTAGTCTAGTTGGTAAAGGGGAGAAGTGTGGCAAAACCAACGTCGCCACTGTGAACTGGAGAAGCCTGGTTGCTCGCCTGCTCCCTTTGGACTATGGCCCTGCAGGTTAAACCATTTATTTTCCCTGCAGAAAGGCTTATTCATGCCTTTCTGCCGGGGTGTTCGGTAGATTCCAACTACCGAACGGTGAACCACCGGGGAGCTGGAGTGTGCCGCCAATTGACCGCCCAGAAGCTGCGGTTAACCGCAGCTTAATTGATGAACGCTGGGTGGCAGGGCCATTTTAAGTCCCGAAAGGCCAGCGGTGCTCAGCACTAACACTGTGGAACGGAAAACGGACACTTCCTTGCGCCAACACAGCTGAGCCGTCCGCCCCCTGGTTCCTATTCGTGCCCTTAGTGTGAAACACCGGTTCAGTCGGTACTTTGGGATATGTGAATATGTTAACCCAGATAGCTAAGCCATGGAGCCCATTCGTGTAACGAAGGACTATGTGAAAGACTTTGGCTCCATGGCATTTAAACTGTATGTATGTGATCTGAGTGCCATTCATCTAATAATGTGCGCTCAGATATAAGCTATCTGGGGATATGTAGAAATGTGTGTCTTATGTACTAAATGTATCAGTATGCAATTTTATGTCTTTTACTGTCTTTTTGTCTGCCATGTGGGTAATGGAGTTTTACCTCTGTCCTTGGAGATAATTAGATTCCTTCCTCAATTATCTCCAGGGCAGAGAGGAGGGATTGTGAGGCATTGTGGGAGGTAACTCTTGTGTGATTGGTGTATTGGGTAATTGTTGTAAATCCCTCCCTTGCATGAGAGAATCCTTTATTTGACTGTATGCCGATTGCCAGGAGTGTAAGCTGTTCGTAGGGCTTTTCCTGTTCGGCTGCTTCCAGGGTTCGTGTGTCTGCTGTTCGAGAGTTGGTGAATACGTGCAGTTTGGAGTTCGGGAGGTTGGTGATTGCAGTAGCTGCTGGTCTATCTGGAAGGGGATTATCGCCTAAACGGTTTTTATCCCCTTGTGAGCGAAACGGTCCGTTACACCGGGAGCCGGAATTTGACGTCATATTCCATCTCCCGGAATTACTCTGCGGCACGCGAGGGAGCTGAGCAGAGAGCTCAGGGAAAAGTGCTCCCTTGCTGCCCGCCTGCACTTCCTGCCGCCTGCCCCGGGGGAGCCCAAAGGTGGCCAGCCAGCCATTTCTTGGGCTCCCTTAAAACGAGGCAAACAAGGTATTTGCCTGGGCAATTGGGGGTGACGTTTTTTGCAACCCCCTGGAAATTGCCACCCAAGGCAAACGCCTTGTTTGCTCGCAGTAGACACATCCCTGAGCGTGTGTCAGTGAATGTGAGTGTTATACTGCCCCTCCACACTGTCACTCTCCTGTCACAATGCCCCATGCAGTCACACTGCTCCCCCACTGTCACACTACCCCCTCCCCACACAGTCACACTGCCCCCCCACACACATTGCCCCCCACACTGTTACCATCCTCAAAGATTGCCACTCCACATTGTCACAAAGCTCTTCCACACTGCCCCCCCACTGTGTCACTCTGCCTCCCTCCCCACACACTGTCACACCACACTGTCATCATCCCACTCACTGTCCTCTCATGCTGCCCCATCCCTCTCACTTCCATCCACACTGTCAACATCCCAAACACTGCTCTCCCCACCCTATCACCCTCTTCCGCATTGCCACCACACACTGTCACCTTTCCACCATACAATCACCCTCCCCCACACTGTCAACTTCCCACACACTGCCATCCTCCCTGTCACCCCCCCCCCCCCACACACACACACACAGTCCACCTCCCCTGGGGCAGGGAGAGCCTATGGCAAAGGAATAGGAGAGGTGAATCATCAGGGAGAGCCTGGTGCAGAGGAGGATCTTAGGGAGCCTTTTTGGAGAGGAATAGCAGGGGGAGCCTGTGGCAGAGGGGAAGCTGGGGGGAGCCTGGGGCAGAACAAAAGCGGGGGGGGGGGACCTGGGGCAGAGGAGACACAAAAGAGCCTGGGAAGGGAGAGGAGAAGCAAGGGAGCCTGAGGCAGAAGGGGGGGAGCCTGAGGATTAAAAGCAATGGAGCCTGAGGCAGTGGAAAAGCAAAGGAGCTTGGGGGGAGAAGAATAGCAAGGGCCTTGGGGGGAGAGGAGAAGCAAGGGAGCTTGGGTCATCCATTCTCCATTATAAATTCAATTTGCGTTCATACAGTGTAGCCCTTGCCCTTGCCAAACAGTCATACTTTCCCTCTCTCATTAGTTCATGCTCCTGCAATCCCAAACGTCTCTTTGATACCTTTAACGCTCTTCTTTGCCCAAACTAACCTTATAATCGCTAGTTTTGCAAGCTACTTTACCAACAAGATTAAACAGCTAAAGAAAGAATTCTTCCCACCTTGCCTCTCTCTTTCTCAACCACACCTAGATCATGGCTTTCCTACTCTTTCTCCCAGGCTACTTGGCGAATGGTTCTTATCTGCGGTCACATTCTATGTTTCTATGTAAGTCCATAATGGGATTTAGAGTTCTCCTTTCCTCTCGCCCCACCACTTGCCCGCTTGATCCTGTCTCCTCTCACCTTATCAGATATCTCTCCCCTTGTCTTGTGCCTTCCCTTGTCTTGTGTTAAACACATCTTCAAATGCTCTCTCTTCTGACATTGTCCCTGCTGCCCTTAAACATGCTACTGTAGTACCTATCTTAATAAAAATAAATAAATAAATAAATAAATAAACCATCTCTCAACCCGTCCTCCCCTTCTAACTATTGTCCCATATCCCTGCTCCCTTTTTGCTCAAAGCTTCTGGAAAGTCTGGTCTTTACCCGACTGGCTTGCTTCCTCAATTCCATCACTCTCCATGACCCGCCTCTGTCTGGCTTCCGCCCCCTCCACTATACTGACATTGTGCTTATTAAAGTTACCAATGACCTAATCACAGCTAAATCCAAAAGGCCACTACTCCAAACTAATTATTTTGGACCTCTTTGCTTCCTTTGACATGGTTGATCATATTCTCCTTCTCAAAACTCTTCAATCACTCGGTCTTTGTGACACTGTCCTCTCATGGTTTAATTCCTATCTCGACAAATGCTCATTCAGTGTCTCCTTTTCGAATACCTCCTCCCTTCATCTTGTCTCGGTTGGAGTCCTCAAAGGCTCTGTTTTTTTTCCCTGTCTTGGCAAACTTATTTCCTAATTTTGTTCCACTACCTCCTGTACGCCGGTGACATCCAGATATTTCTCTCCTCTCCTCCCCATCCTGCAACGTGTCACGGTTTGTGATTTGTGATTGGATGTCCTCCCGCCTGAAATTCAATCTCTCCCTTTCAAGTTGGTGGTACTCATATCAGCCCATCCTTGCAAGCACACTGTCTTGGAGTTATATTTGATTCTGCCCTCACCTTTGAGCCTCACGTCCAGTCTGTTACCAAATCCTGTTGATTCCACCTTAAAAAGCACTGCCCGCATCCGCCCCTCTCTTACACAAGGCACTACTAAGAAGCTTGTTCATGCTCTAGTAATCTCTCGCCTTGATCATTGTAACTCTCTCCTAATTGGTCTTCCGAGAAGCCATACTGCCCGGCTACAGTCTCTAATGAATGCTGCCATTAGACTGATTTTCATTTCCAGTCGCTCGTCTCACACCTCACCCCTCTGTCAGTCATTACATTGGCTTCCTGTATCCTATATGAGTCAATTCAAGAAGTCAGTACTAATCCATACCTATAAAGCACTGAACACTTCTAGCCCCTTATATCTCCTCAAAGATCCTTAGGTATGCCCATTCTCTGTCTCTCAGCTCTGCCAATGACTTTCTCCTGGCAGCTGACTTCTCATAGTCAACTTCTTAGCCTGCCTACCACCATCAGACTCTCCTCTAGTCTTCAATCATTTAAGAAGTGCCTTAAAACCCTTCTCTTTGGGAAAGCTTATGGCCTCCTAGAGTAACTTCTACCTCAAATACCTGTCCTTTGCGCTTTCCTAAAGGGCAGAATTCTACTCTCTCCTCCAGCTCTGCTTCACTCGCACTTTGTTTGATTGAGATCTCCTTCCAGTGTTTTATACCCCTCCTCCTCTAGATTGTTAAATCTCCCCCTCTTATAATATTGTAAAGCGCTATGGAATATGTTGGCACTATATAAATGCCAATAATGATAGATAGACAGACAGACAGATAGATAGATAGATAGATAGATAGACAGACAGACAGACAGATGAGAAGTTAGAAAATATTAAAGCACTGGGACGTGAGAATGACTCAAAAAAAGAGACACATATAGAGTTTCTGTGATGCAGAGGTTTTTGTAGTAAAAAGCAAGTGGCAGTGTGTTACAAAACTAAAGAATAGGTTTATGGAAAAATTTTAATGTCAACAATACGTAACATTCTAAATAAATTGAGCAATGCAAATTTCTGACGCAAGCAACAATTGATATGTTCAAGATTTATAAAGGCGACATTATGTGTTCTACTTTTTAATGTGAATCAAAGCACTTTTAATATTGTAATAGGACACCCAATTTAAGATGCTAGCACTAACACACCAAGCTCTTAACATGAATAATCATATATATATGTTTGCTTTCCTGACCCTATAGTGTTCTTTAAGGTTAGTTAAGTTTCGTTAGTAATAAAAAATAATAACATCTAAATTATGCTTTGATATTCTGGGGATCATAAATACTCAGACCTGGCTCATACAGACACTTATACACAAAGTTATCATAGAATAACTTCTATACCATACTTTCTTATATTATTAGCATGTTCTTACCTCTCCAGGATGCTTTGATATCAGCCGTCTCATGGCATCTACAGCATGCTCTTTTTGTATACCTTCAAGTCCTGGGGAATTTGGATCTGGAACATCCCCCAAACCATCCACACCATGAAAGTATGATGCATGAATGCTATCTCCAAGAATCGCTTTAGTAGCTCCTCTATAGACAGGAATCTATTTTTTATAAAAATTAAAAAAATCAAATTAAATACAGAAGTCTGTAGTTTTATGGATGTCTTCAGTGTGGTGCAAAGGGGGCACTTTGTAAAATGTTGGCAGAAAAAAAAATCCCCTCCTCCCGCACAAAAAAAATATTATAAAAACTTTTTCAGACTGGATCCCTTTAGAGTGGTGGAACAAGGTGCACAAATATTCCTATAAATTCGGCCTAGCACGTGTTGTTCCCTGAACTTTTCCAAGGATACCTCCTCCCCTCGTCCTGTCTCGGTCGGAGTTCCCCAAGGGTCTGTCCTTGGTCCCCTCCTATTTTCTCTTTATACTGCCTCTCTAGGTAAACTTATTGCCTCTTTTGGATTCCGCTACCACCTGTATGCTGATGACACTCAGATATACCTCTCCTCCCCGGACCTCTCCCCTGCCGTCCTGCAACGTGTCACTGCTTGCCTTTCTTCCATCTCTGACTGGATGTCCTCACGCTTTCTGAAACTTAACCTCTCTAAAACTGAACTCCTTGTCTTTCCTCCTCCTAATACTGATCCTCCTCTCTCGCTCTCCCTTCAACTCAGTGATATCCACATAGGTCCATCCCTGCAAGCGCGCTGTCTTGGCGTCATACTTGACTCTGATCTCACCTTTGAGCCTCACATCCAGTTTGTTGCCAAGTCCTGTAGGTTCCAACTCAAAAACATAGCCCGCATTCGCCCCTTTCTTACGCAAGATGCTACCAAGGAGCTTGTCCATGCTCTAGTAATTTCCCGCATGGATTACTGTAACCCTCTCCTGATTGGTCTCCCCAAAAGCCGTATTGCCCCGCTACAGTCTGTAATGAATGCTGCAGCTAGACTGATTTTCCTCTCTAGTCGGTCCTCTCACACCTCACCCCTCTGCCGGTCCTTACATTGGCTCCCTGTATGCTATAGGAGTCAATTCAAAGTGCTAACCCACACATTTAAAGCACTGAACAATTCTAGCCCCGCTTATATCTCTTCACTAATCCATAGATATGCCCCTCCTCGTACCCTCCGCTCTGCCCGTGACCACCTCCTGACCGCTGCTCGCACCCGTACGGCCAACTCGCGCTTGCAGGACCTCTCGCGGGTGGCTCCTCTCCTATGGAATAGCTTGCCTACTGCCATCAGACTCTCCCCTAGTCTTCAATCATTTAAGAAGGGCCTTAAAACCCATCTCTTCAGGAAAGCTTATGGCCTCCCAGAGTAATCTCTACCTTACATACCTGTCTCCTGCTCTCTCCTATGGGACAGTGCTTTGCTCTCTCCTCCAGCTCTGCTTCACCCCTACTTGATATTTCTTGTCCTAATGTTTCTAATACCCCACCTCCTATAGTCTGTAAGCTCGTTTGAGCAGGATCCTCTTCAACCTATTGTTCCTGTAAGTTTTCTTGTAATTGTCCTATTTATTGTTACATCCCCCCTCTCAAAATATTGTAAAGCGCTACGGAATCTGTTGGCGCTATATAAATGATGATAATGATAATGATAACTGGAACGTTTTCAAAGACTGTAAGCCAGGTTAGTTTGGGCTGGTATAACATTTCCATTGAATGGGTATGATAATAACATTTAAGTGAGGTTGTCAGGTGCGTATCTCAGTTGCGGGCTCTCAGTGTATCCAGTTCCTCTGGATAAATGTATAATTCATAAGATACCACATGATTCAAATAATATGTATGCATTAATAGAATAACTCCTTCCAGTGAAAAAAAAATCTTTACATACATCAACATAACAGTATGATATGCAACTAGTCCTCCCACATTTGTGTTCAAAAGTTACATCATTTAAAAGCATGGGAAAATATTTTTTTTATTAATTTCTTGTGCATGTTTTAATAGATGGCTATAGGCTGTAATAAAAAGAAGAAATTCAGAATCCATATTAACTTGTGAATAAATCATGTTATTAAGAGATGATATCAGACCATTAAGATATAAACACATAAGAACCTTAGAAAAAGAATTCTAAAGAAGATCATAATCATAGCATGTCTTTTGGAACCGTTCCCCCAAATCTGTTACTTCCCCCAACAAATTGACTTCTCTCAAAACAATTTACTGCAATCTAAGGTAATTTCCTTTCGGGGTTCCCTTCATAATATATTTTGGGTCACATGTATTAGCACATAGAATAGAATTACCTGCACAGGTTTTCCTAATGGACCAAAAAATTAAATAGCTCGTCCATTGCACATTTTGTTTTTTTAGTGAAGTATAACTTGGAGGAAAGACGAGATATGATAGAAACATTTAAATACATAAAGGGAATCAACACAGTAAAGGAGGAGACTATATTTAAAAGAAGAAAAACTATCACAAGAGGACATAGTCTTAAATTAGAGGGGCAAAGGTTTAAAAATAATATCCGGAAGCATTACTTTACTGAGAGAGTAGTGGATGCATGGAATAGCCTTCCAGCTGAAGTGGTAGAGGTTTACACAGTGGATGAGTTTAAGCATGCATGGGATAGACATAAGGCTATCTCAGCTATAAGATAAGGCCAGGGACTAATGAAAGTATGTAGAAAATTGGGCAGACTAGATGGGACGAATGGTTCTTATCTGCCGTCACATTCTATGTTTCTATGTAAGTCCATATGGCGATTCAGAGTTGTTGAATTGTAGTTTATACCAGCTTTAGTGTAACTATAATCTTAATTTTATTAATGACAGGAGGCGAATATTTGCTTAAAGCAGCACTGTCATGCCGAACTTACCTTTCCTCAATCTCTTCCTCTTCTCCCCCTCTCTCAGGATCTGTTATTCTTTTCTTCCTGTCTTCTTTAGTTTTCTTTAAAATCATAAAGAAATTTATGGAGGATTCCTCCGCTTGACCAGCCTTATGGAGGATTCCTCCGCTTGACCAGCTCTGACCAGCGGAGGAGCAAAGTGTGCTTCATTTCCGCTGGTCAGAGCAATTTTCCCATGATCCTTACCTTCCCTCTGTGTTCCCACGATGTTTCCTGTCATTTTACACAAAACTGCCGAATTTCGTTCTAACTGAATGACAACAGTCTGTTCGTTTCTTTTAGAACGCAATTCGGCACTTTATTCGGATGGGAATTTCATTCGAATGAATGAAACTCTGATCCTATTCGTGCTGTGGCTGCATCTTGCAGCCGCTTAGTAGATAACTCCCTAATTCCCACGGTATCAGGGAGTTATCTACTAAAAGGCTGAAAGACCTAAATTGGTCTTTCAGCCAACTTTACTAATGCTAAGTAAAAATTACTTAGTATTAGTAAGTAATATGCCCCTACTCGCTATACCGCGAGTAGGGGCATGTCTGGTAAACAGTGAGCAGCCTGTGGCTGCTCACTGTAAAAAAAACTATTGGCCCCCACCCCTAAACGACTGGTGGGGGCCCTAAAATAAAATAAGGGGGAGACCAAATGACCTAAAATAAAATAAGGGGGGGGAGACCAAATGACCTACTGCCCCCCCCCGGCCCCCACCCCTGGGCGGCGGGTGGGGGCCATAATGAGAATGGGGGGGACCTACTGCCCCGCCCCCACCCCTGGGCGGATAATGAGGGGGGGGACCTATGTCCTCCCCCCCCGGCCCCCACCCCTGGGCGG